GTGCGACCTCTGTAATCTCAAAGCCATCTATGCCCCCCAGCCCCGCTTGAATTCCCAGGCAGGCCTGTCCAAACAGTGATGGACGTATTGTCCCTGGAAAATGGAGGTGCTGGGAATTGGGTAATTCCTACACCGTCCAGCACAAACGGGTGGCCCAGCCCTCCTTCCCGGCCAGCCCCATGGTCCACAGCGTGGGCACCCAGAGCTCTGTCCAGCTGATGCCTCACCCTGAACCTGGCACCTGCTCAGGAGGCCTGTGTCCCCCTCTCTGCCCGCACACGATCCAGGTCTGTCTCCTCTTCCTCGGCTTCCTGCCCCCTTCCTGCCCCCCTAACTCTCCTTCCCCAAGCTCCTCCCCTAGCTCTGCCACACATCCCCGCTGCATCTCAGGTTAGAAACAGGCTCTCACTTCTTTGCACGCATGCTGCCATGACCCAAGCCCTTAGCAACAGTGATGCAGGAGGTTCAGCCCTTGGGGGTCCGTCAGAGAAGGAACAGAGCCTCCTGTTCAGAGATGCAAGAGAAGGGAGGTGTGGAGTCTCTTTAATGCCTCCGGTTCAATTCTGGAAACACTTCTTGTTCAGTTGGATCAGCTCGGATCAGGAACGTGAGACATGCCTAGATTTCACTGTGCATCTCTCAGATGCTTCTGGTTTTACCTGGGGAAAACTAAGGTTTTTGAGTGCAGGATACTTGAAGGTTTTCCCACCTGAGAAACTGCAAAAGAAATAGAATCTTCACATCTTCAGGCTGTTGTGCATTTTGGTAGAATAAGTGCAAATAAAACTACTATAATGCATGGGGTTTGGTTACAAAAATACAAAAATTTCTTCTGTAAGAAACTCTCTCAGTTTTGCATGGCCTTTCCCCCCCAATAATTCATGAAGCATCTTCTTTTAGGAGGCAGAGATCCTATTTACTGTGTTCCTTTAGACTCATCAGAAATACTGACTAACTAATGAGTGAAGCAGCTTCGGGTAAAACATCTCTATTAAATTCTCTTGGCCTTTTTAAGATCAAAAACAGAAGAAGAAGAAACTTTTTCTTCCTCTAAATGCAAATCTCCCCTGCAACACTGTACCTAATCTACTACAACTAATTAATCTGCTGGAGCTGATGAAATGTTACCTCCACATTTTTCGTTCCTTGTATACAATTATTGTAACAGCGGTGAATAAATCAATATTCCCAATCCAACTGTAAAAAACAATCAAGAAAAGCAGTGCTTCTCAGGGAAAAAAAAACACCAAATAATATTTATTAACTCTGTCTCAATCCACAACAGAACCAAATACCGTTCAGGCATTTTCTGCAAGTGTAATAAGCAAACTCAGATACATGATGAAGGTGGCACATGCCAATAATTTCACCATTTTACACTGCAGAGTAATTGAAGGATTTAATGAGAAACAAACCAATAAAAATAAATAGACCATGTTAGAGGAGGAGAAACTGATCTGAAATGGAAGTTGCTCCATTGTGAGTTTAGGGGGATTTTGCATGGTTTGACCAAGGGAAATAAACAATATCAGGACAACTAGCTCCCATCCATTTTTTCAAAGAGGAAAAAAAAAATTTTGTTTCCCTGGATGAAAATCCTGGGCACGGTAACCATTAGTTGTTGAATGAGAACCCTCATCCAGGCTTGAGGAATTCAAAGATAAACACGGCACAGTCCTTGTCTGAAGAGCTCATGGCCAAGGTCAACAGTAGGAAATATATCCCAAGGGCGTTTGGGGCCACTGAGCTCCACTCCCTAAGTCATGGGGCACAAATCCACCCCTCCTGAGAAGCCCAGTGGGGACAGTCCCACCCTGCATTACTGGCCAGAGAGCCGCAGCTCCCACCAGTGGGCTCCAAACCTTGTCGAGCCTGGCCGGAGAGGCCGCCCCACTTGGGCAGTCATCAGGAAGCACTGTCCAGCCAGCGTGCCCTTGGCTGCAGAAGCATCAGGAGCCTGCATCCCCTGGGCATCAGACCCAGGAGAAGGACCAGGGACACGGAAACCCCACTGAAAAAAGGGGTGCCCACAAAGCAGTCTGAGCACCCACCGTTGAGCAGACAGAATTGACCTCATCCCTGGCCCAGCTCCAGGCTTGGGGATTCAAGGATAAACACAGCACAGTCCTTGCCCAAAGACCTCAGGGTCAAGATCAAGGGTCGCAAATATATCCTCAGGGTGTTTGGGGCCATTGAGCTCTGTCCCCCACACCGTGGAGCAGAAAGGCTGGAAATGCTGCTGAGAGAAGCGGCACCTGGCCAGGTGAGGGAGGACATGCCTGTGAAGCAGAGCTGCCGGCTCCATGGGGACCCAGGAACGGGAAAGGGTGGTGGGTGATGCTATGGGCAAGTGGCCTGGGTCTGCAAGGCTCAGAGTGGGGGCGAGCCATCTCCAGGAAGGGGTGGTAGATTTGGGAGGGTGAACGGAGGGGACAGAGAGACTCAGCCAGGGCCAGGTCAGGAAGGACCGCCACCTGGATGACCGCAGAGGGCTCTGGGGGCCCTGGGAGGAAGAGAGGAATGCCTGGAGTGGAAGTCCCCACGCGGGCGGGCAGGAGTGCAGACCCAGCTCTGCACCCACGGAGCTGGTCCGTTCCCGCCTGCACACGGACCCACCCCTGAGGGCCATTTCACGCTGGCCCCTTGCCCACTCCCCACCTTTACGGGGTCTCTCTTCAACCTTTCCTGAGGCAAGACTTGTTTGTCCACCCAAACCCTTATGTTAGAAAAAATGCAAACCTGGACTCTCCTTTTTTTTTTAAACTCAAATCAGGAGAAGCCAGCTTTAAGATAGTTCTTTAAGAGATGCTGCTTTCAGCTCCTCTGTTTTGAGGTCCTCCACATGCACAGTTGAAGACATTCCGCCGTAACGTGGTATCGCCTTGTGGGAGCTGAGCTCGGAGATACTGGAGCCAGGGGGGTCCCTCCGCGGCCCGGGCAGCGGGCAGGCCCGTGAGCCTCTGACCACACCTTTGGAGAGCTCTCTGAAAGAGTATTGATGGGGGGAAGCTTTTTATTCCTCAGCAAGTTCAAGTGAGCCCGTGTGGGCCTGGACAAGGAGTTTGCAGTTTTACTCTCAGGACGACATAGATGGGCTGAGAGGAGAAATCTAATAGCGGGCTAACGGGCTGGCAGCTGGGAGGGCCTCCCTCCTGCCGTGTGGTCACGGCCTCAGCTCCTTAGCACCTATAAGGAAGGAGGGATGCAGGAGACAGTCCACGGTGCCGCCTCTGCCCAGACCGACCCAGAAGATTCTGGAAGGACCCGCTCTTTCTCCTGCCACTGCCTCCCCATCTCAGTCACATGGCTGCATCTGAAGCCCCGTCCAGGGACCCAGCAGGGCACTAGTAGGGCTGGTCACAAAGGGAAATGGGAGGATAGGCCTTTCCCGTGAGTTCTAGGACTCGCCTTCAAAAATGGAGGAGGAGTTGGGGGGTAGGGAAGTCTGTCTGGGTCTAGGTGCCTCTCAGGGTGGTGCCTGGGGAGCGGTGCAGACACAACAGGGGGCTGGTCTTGCTCTCACCTGGGGACTGACCCAGTGATGTGCCCCCAGACGTCGGCCCTACTTCCTCTGGGCCTCAGTTTCCCCTTCTGTAAACTGAAAAGGTTGACAAGAAGGACCCCAGACTCGGGTCTCCCAGGAGAACAGTCTGTGTGATGCTGAGGGTCTCTGGGAGTCTGGGAGTGACCCTGAGGTCCAGGTACCACTCCCCGCGGCTCTCCGCTCCTGGAGGAAGACCTCCCCCACACTGGCAGGGGAGCCTCCCTGCAGCGCCTCTGGCTTCCACACGGGGGAGCTGAGCTGCCCCTGGCGCAGGGCTCACGCGAGCCCAGGGCAGAGGTCCCACCCCAGAGGGCAATGCATCGGAGGTGGGCCCTTAGCAGACAGACCGAGGGGAAGCAGCACCATCCCCAGACAGGCATGGCCCCAAGTCACTCTCGGATCAGGGCCCAGTCTCTTCTCCTTCGGGTCAAGGGTGCTCGCCACCCCCTACCATTGCCACTGCACAGTTTCTGCACGCCGGAGGTGCCCTTGTGCTTTCAGGGTGATGTTTCAGGACATTGCTGTGGCCCTCCTGAGGTTCCCCTTTGTAGAAGAGGCCGCCAGTTCAGGGAGATGAAGTGTTCTACCAGATTATGTAGCTCTCTAATGGGAGAGCTGCTTTAAGTCCAAGGATACGTATTACCAAGTTGTGACCAACCCACTGCCCACTGTCCTCAAGTTAGAAGTGCAGGAAAGCCAGTGAGATGCACGCTTGATCAGGAGAAATGCAGGTACCAGATTATATCTGAGTGTGCAATAAGTGCCCGGGGCATTGGAGTAGCAGGACTGACTGTCTAGGAGGGAGCGATCCCCAGGGGCTTCCTGAGGGAGGTGTTGCCTGGGGCACTCACACTCTCCAAGCCGGGAGTTCAGACACAAGCAGACGAACTGGGTCTCTTCCCTCCGACTCGGCCACCACGACTGCGCCTGTGTGGGGACTGAACATCTGGCTTGAATCTCCACCCCACACCCTGCCAGGCTGGACAGATCAGGGCAAAGCAGACATATTCTGCCCACGGCCTCAGGGGTGAGGGACTGAGGGTCGGAGACGGAGACTGGCCCAGAGGGGTGAGCCTGCGGGGACGGTGGGGCCCCTCGTCCCCGGTTCCATGCTGGAATCGGACAGCAGCTCGGGGCCTCCCCTGGGGTCACCAACAGCCAGGCGGAAGGTGGCCACACCGCAGCTACCTGGAAGTTAGAGCTCGTGTTACAGGAGCTGAAGTCACGGAGGGCGAAGGGGACCCTCGCCCTGGGGAGCTGGGGACCCTCGCCCTGGGGAGCTGGGTGGGCCCGCCCTGGGGCTGTGAGCTCCGTACCTTCCAAGCAGCTTGCTGTTTTCTCCAGAAACCCTCCCAGGGAGTAAAACATCTATAGAGGAGGCACACGTGATGGCGTATCCCCAGCTTCCTGAAGCCTGGGAGCAGGGCGGGGGTGATGCTCAGAACGTGAGTAGGGGTTACAGGTGGGTGGTGGGCGGGGGGCGGAGCTGAGAGTCGAGGTGGAAGGGTGGATCCCTCCGCCAGGCCCGCCCCTTCCCCACTGAGGGACTCAGCGCAGGCGCAGGAGCTGGCTGGAGACCCTCTGCAGCGCCTGGGCCCCACGCCGACGTCTTCACACAGGCCGCGTTGTCTGAGCAGCTCCGGGTGTGAAGCTGGCGTTCCTCGTACCGTAGGTAGGCCCAGCGCATGATGCTTCTCCTCTGGGCTCCTAGTCGCCTAGCACCCGGCACACCAGCCTCTCCAAGTCCACTTCCCGTCCGCGGTGATTCGGTGCTGCGGGACAGGGGCCCGTGGGCTTCACTAGGGAACCCGCAATCAAGGAAGAAGAGAAGCCAGCTCCTCCTCCCCGCTTGCTGGTGCTCAAGTCCAGCTCTGAGCAGGACTGAGCCACACGGGTCACACCCGGCATTGACCTTGGACCTTGTGTTGTCACATGAGTCCGTCGAGATGATAGCTTTGATAAACTTGAGCAGACTTGTGTCTGAATGCGGAGAGGCAGTCATGACATCAATAGCCGTGGTGCTGACACTCACCTGGGCACTGTTGCACAGGAGTGCAACATTTTCAGTTCAGAGGGCACATTTTAAGTTCAGTTCACTCGATCCGTCGTGTCCAACTCTTTGTGACCCCATGGGCTGCAGCGCACCAGGCCTCCTTATCCATCACCAACTCCCAGAGTTTTCTCAGACTCATGTTCATTGAGCCAGTGATGGCATCCAGCCATCTCATTCCCTGTCGTCCCCTTCACCTCCCACCTTCAATCTTTCCCAGCATCAAGGTCTTCTCAAATGAGTCAGTTCTTCGCATCAGATAGCCAAAGTATTGGAGTTTCAGCTTCAGCATCAGTCCTTCCAAAGAATATTCAGGACTGATTTCCTTTAGGGTAGACTGGTTGGATCTCCTTGCAGTCCAAGGGACTCTCAAGAGTCTTCTCCAACACCACAGTTCAAAAGCATCAATTCTTTGATGCTCAGCTTTCTTTATAATCCAACTCTCACATCCATACATGACCACTGGAAAAACCAGAGCCTTGACTAGATGGACCTTTGTTGGCAAAGTAATGTCTCTGCTTTTTAATATGCTGTCTAGGTTGGTCATAACTTTTCTTCCAAAGAGTAAGCATCTTTCAATTTCATGGCTGCAATCACCATCTGCAGTGATTTTGGAGCCCAAAAATATAAAGTCTGCCACTGTTTCCACTGTTTCCCCATCTATTTGCCATGAGGTGATGGGAACAGATGCCATGATGTTAGTTTTCTGAACAGTGAGCTTTAAGCCAACTTTTTCACTCTCCTGTTTCACTTTCATCAAGAGGCTTTTTAGTTCCTCTTCACTTTCTGCCATAAGGGTGGTGTCATCTGCATATCTGAGGTTATTGATATTTCTCCCAGCAATCTTGATTCCAGCTTGTGCTTCATCCAGCCCAGTGTTTCTCATGAAATGCTCATGGCAAATTTTATTGGTATGAAAATTGTTATTATTACCACCCGAAAGTTCGACTTTTCTCCATGGCACCAGAACTGAACTTTCCCTTTAAGTACCCGCTCACCAATGCTGTTATCACAGGCCCCACCATCTGCTGAGTCCTATGTCACCTTTGCCAGCGTGACTCACTTCGAAAAGAAGAACCAGGCCAACCCTCGGTATGGCAGGAGTGGGCCATGGTTCTCTCACATGCTGGCTCTCAAAACTAGCATTTAAGTGGAAGTAATTTCCAAGTGCAATCATAGTTTACATATCAGTTATTGTATTAAAAAAAAAAACTGAGAGGCTGCGGTAGGCTACATGCAATTAACATCGAGGCCCTTGTCTAGGCCTCGTGGGAAGGGAACCAGCCTGGCTGGTTTTTTCCCGCACATTTTGATGGGAAGAAGTGAGGTTTTGCTGGAGGTCTCAGCCGCAAGTGTAGAAGCTGTTTGAAAATGAGACATCGAACAGACTGCAGGACAGGGTAAACGCAGAATGAGCATTTGGTTTTTTTAACTGTGTCTCAGCAGCCTGGTCCCAGGCCTTGAACTGTGCACCTGGCGAGTCAGGTGGACGAGGGCTGAGTCAGGACTGAGGATGGAGCGGGTCTGAGTTAGGGGCCAGGGCCCAGCGCGGGCTGGGGGCGGGGAGGCCCATGGCCCGGCTGGGGCTGGGGGGCTGCACACGGATGGACGAGTCCATCTTGGCCTGAGAGCGTGGGTGCAACAGAGACCTCGAGGGGCACACACCCACAGGCACGTCCCCACTCTCACACAAGTCCACGGTTGTACACAGATACACACACGCACTGCCATCAGCAGACCACTGGCAGTCGTATGGCTCAGAAGTGAAGCAGGAGTGGGAATTCCATCATAACGCAGCTGGGAGGGAGCAGAAGGTGAGTCAGGAAGAACCAAAACGGGCCAGGAAAGAGAAAAGCAAAGCGCAATGCTGACTGGACGGTTCAGCAAAATGCAGGGAAGGAGATTTGGGTAGGAAGAGACTTTCGAGATGATTTCTGCATCAGGAGGCAGGCTGGACAGAGGCCGGGCCAGGTCCCTGTACCACAGGTGTCTCTGACCTGAGGCCCTGGCGCAGCAGGAACAGACGGGGCCACGAGAGCATCCAAGGAAGGTGGGCAGGGGGCAGGACTCGGGGGGAAGCGGACCCCATGGCGCAGGCAGGCAGGGAGGGGGAGGGCTCGGTGTCCCTCTGGTTCAGTGACTGAGGCACGGTGTTGACCTAAGGAGAAAGTCGGAGAAAACAGGGGTGGGGCGGGGAGGAGCTGGAGGGACAAAGCCGTCTCAACAAAGCACGCCTGTTTCCCAGGTTAGACCTTACATGCACATTCAACTAAGCGATTTTTCTAAGGTCTCAGAGCAAAACATAGTAGCCTACACTCACCTCAGATTAAAGTTTGCAGAGTGTTTTCACCCTCGGATCTATGTGGCCCTTTATAAACATCCTTGAAGGAGAAGGAAATGGCAACCCACTCCAGTATTCTTCCCTGGAGAATTCCACGGACAGAGGAGCCTGGCGGGCTGCAGTCCGTGGGGTCACAAAGAGTCAGACACAACTGCGTGACTAACACACAGCACTTTTAAAGAAGGTAGATACTACCTTTAGCAAGGAAAAGAAAATTCTGAGTACATGGCACCGAAAGCAGATCTTTTTGCTCCTGAGTTGAATTATCAGGTTTCCTTGGTTGCCTGTGACAGAATCCCATTCATCTAAAATGGGGACTTTCTGGATCTTGTTACTGGAAGAGAAGGAGTGTTGATGAACTTGGGGGCAGCTGAAGCCGAGACCCTCTTTCATCTCCTAGTTCAGCTTGCCTCATACCATGCCAGTCTCCTCTCTCCAACTGGTCCAGGAGGGCACTGTGGCCCCAGGATGCTCTGTTGCAATTCTCCTTGCAGTTTTATGACAAATGTAAAGAGAGGCTTCTCACATAAGGCTATCGGAAAAGTCCTAGTGAAGGTCTCAGCTTGGGCCAATTGTCCACTTATTCCTTCAGGCAGGAAGTCAGTTCGGCCATTCTTTCATTCAAACATTGACTGAACATACCCAGTATGCCAGACACATGGCTGGTGGTGGGCATAGGGGCATGGGCCAGACAGAGAAGGTCTCTGCTCTGAAGCAGCTTCCAGACTAACAGGGGGAAGATCAACAATTCAGAACGGACAAAAACAGCAGCAGCAAGAAAACCCAAATGTAGGCACCCATGTCTCTGATACAGTTAGACCCAATCCAGTATCCTGGGAGGAGGTGGCTGTTCCCATTTCTAAGCAACAGACTAGAACATCTGTGGTAGGTTGGGGGATATGGGAAGAGATCTGGGGAGCATTTCCTGTAAGCAGCAAGATGTGATATCCTAACTAAAAGGAAGAAGGACTGCTGGGCACACAACAATGTGTAAGTATATAATTTGCTTGTATAATAATTTTTTATTATGAAAACATGAGTACCTAAGGAATGAGCCACTGGGAAGGCTTTTCTTCTTCTGGATGCTTAGAATTCAAAGCATCCTTATTCCATACCAAAGGTGCTTACAAAGGTCTGAAAATGGCCTTCTAAGGACAGCCTGGTCTGCAACCCTGACTCCACCTCTGCCTCTCAGAGCTACCCATCCAGAGAGCTCCTCAGAGGTCTCACCCTCAAGAGGCTTACAGTTGTTCTTTCATTTACCTTCAAGGCCCATGTGTCTGGTACAGTGCTAGGCACACAAAACACCCTCATTCATTTAGTCAGTGTTTATTTTAATTCATTATAGTTCACTATAGTCAGCTACATTCAGCCCTAGTGACATAAAATGCTATGTGAAGACATCTTGAGAGTTGTCTGTGAGCCTCTACTCATCTGACGATCTTTCTTTCTAGTATAATTTAACAAGACTCCAATTTTAAGGCAGAGACGATGTGTTTTGAGGGCCATCAGAGAAAGGCATGCAGCGCGGGAAACTGGAAAGGCCTCTGTTGAAACGACAGCACAGACTCTGAGCTCCAGCCTGTGCCTCTCCCCACACATCCCCTGACAGGTTGCCAAGCATGCTCACTGCAGTTCAACCTAGGCTGCCACTGACATTCCTCATCTTGACCCTCCGTTGTATTCATGAACCTTCTGTGGTCAAATCCGGACCCCACCGTGGAGCAGCAGCTCAACCAGAATTAGCCTCAAGAGCTCAGAACTAATGGGAGCGGTGACCCAGCTGACTGTCAGCTGCCAGAGGTCTGGGGCACGGGGAGCTGCACTTAGACGAGCAATGTAGGTCATCACCACTGAGATGTCTCCAACCCACTCTTTCAAGCCTCATATGTTGTCTAGCATGTTTGTACGGAAGAGTTCCTCTCCTTCTGTCATGTTTTAAAATCTCAGATACCAGCCAATTCTCGGGCAGAGCATTGAAGTCCATGCATCCCAGGGCACATGCATCCTGGGGCACATGCATCATGGCTAGGTGATAAGGCACAAAGGCGGATGTAGACAATGGACCATGGCCAAGGAGGCTGGCACAGACAGACATGTCTCCAGAGAAGACATATAGATGACCAAGAGGCATGCAAAAAGATGCTCAGCATCGCTAACTACTAGAGAAATGCAAATCAGAACTACAATGAGGTATCACCCCACATTGGTCAGAATGGCCATCATCGAAAACCCTACAACAATAAATGCCAGAGAGGGTGTGGAGAAAGGGGGACCCTCCTATACTGTTGTGGGACTGTAATTGATAGAGTCACTATGGAAACATATGGAGATTCCTTAAAAAACAAAGATTAGAGCTATCATATGACCCAGTAATCCCACTCCTGGCCATTTACCTGGAGGAAACCATACTTCCATGAATTGCAGCCCTGTTGACAATAGCCAGGAAATGGAAACAACCTAAATGGCCATCAACAGATGAATGGATAAAGATGTGGCACATAAACCCAGTGGAATATGACTCAGCCATAAAAAGGAACAAAACTATGGCATTTGCAGAGACATGGGTGGACCTAGAGACTCTCACATGAATGAAGTAGGTTAGAAACAGAAAAAACAAATATCGCATATTAACACGTGCATTTTGAATCTAGGAAAATGCTACAGATGGTCCTATCTGCAAAGCAGGAAGAGAGACACAGACAGACAGAACAAACCCATGGACACCAAGGGGATAGAGGGTGGGATGAATTGGGAGATCGGGACTGACATGGATACACTACTAGGTATAAAACGGGTAATTAAAGAGAACCTATTTCATAGCACAGGGAGTGTATCTACTCAGTGCTCTGAGATGATCTAAATGGGAAGGAAATCTAATACAGGGGATATACCTGGTGGCTCAGAGGGTAAAGCATCTGCCTGCAATGGGGGAGGCCTGGGTTCAATCCCTGGGTGGGGAAGATCCCCTGGAGAAGGTAATGACAACCCACTCTTGCCTGGAAAACCCCATGGATGGAGGAGCCTGGTGGGCTACAGTCCATGGAGTCACAAAGAGTCCGACATGACTGAGCAACTTCACTTTCACTTTTCACTTTATACATATATGTATAGCTGTTTGCTATACACAGCAGAAAACAACAACATTGTAAAACAGCAACACTCCAACAAAAATTTTGAAGGAAAACAATTTAAAAAAAAAGGTTGAAGAGCAAAATACACGTATCTGAGAGCCAGTGTAGGCAGGGGTCCATTGCTCTAAGTAGTACATACCAGGCCTGGGTGGTGAATAGGGAGGCCTCTACCCCTGACCAGGGAGGGGGAAGGCAGGGGGGAGGCAGGGAGGGCCCCTGCTGCTGGTGGGGCTGGAGGCATCAGGAGGCCCAGCTGACTCCACTGCATGTTGGGTCACGCCGGCCCCTCGGCTCTCTCCTTCACACACCCCCCCCCCCCCCCGCCGCCAACCGCACCTCCTCTGAGAGGCAGCCTTGATGTGTGAGCCACCACGGGCGCTCAGCTGATTAGCAGAAATGCAATATGCAGAACAGCTTTGTCACTGGGAGTCAATGAATGGCTCCAGGTGCCTCCCTCGACATGCTGTCAGGCCTGCTATTCAAGGTGACTGATAACCGGGCACATTCTCCAGACACCCGGCTTGATTTGTTCCCCATCACACGGGCCATACTTGGGCCAGAGTCTCGTGTCACTGGGGGGACATGGCTTTGATTTTCTGGAATCGTACCAGAATAATAATTATATTTGTAAAATCATAAAAATCTCAGAGAGACCAGAAATTCTAAATTGTGAGGGTTTGATGGGAGGATTTAGGACACCCATTCAGTGGATAAAAATTCAGTAACTAGCTAGAACTTTTTTGAAAGTGGTACATCTCTGTCACCTTTTAATTATATAATGAAGACAAATATGTGTGGAACTTTGTGTCTTAGATTATTTGTTAACTGCAAAGTTGCTGTTTCAGCAAGAAAAATATAAAGACTTCGTGTTATGAGAATTAATTATGCCTAAAACAGTCAACAGTAGCCATGAAGAATGAAAAAACCCAGAGTCACAAGGACAGATTCTCACTCTTTGAGGCACCTAGAGAAACAGTGTGACATTTATTTCCAACACCAAACACATGAACATCTCTCAGAACATCAGAATGAATTCATAAGTACCTAATAACTTAAAAATAAATGTAGTCAAATACATGGAAATGAAGATCTCTAGAAATAAGTTGAAATCAGATTAGAAGTCAGATAAATGGAACTTCTAAGGGTCTCAATTTTGGAAAATATGGCATTAATTTTATCTTTGTAATGTAGTATATCCACTAAGTCAAGCACGTGGAGCTGTGGAGCTGTGAGCCGTTCAGAGGTGACCAACGAAATGGGCAAAAGGCACCCAAAGGTGCAGACCTTAGAGTGAGAACATAGGTCTACAGGTTGCAACGTGGAGGAGAGGGAACTGGGAACCACATCCATAGCTGCCTCATTGAGTGACAGTGTGTCCAGCTTGGGTGGGGGTCAGGCCACCTGCTTCATTGTCTTCTTTCTTGAGTGTGAACTTCAGATAAAAGGAAATAAAGTCCATGGAAAGACAGGAGACAGAGGTTTGAGCAAATTGGACTGTGTCACCTCATTGCAGATCAGAATTTTCTGCAGACCTCATGGGGCTGGGCTTCCAGCCTAAGTGACTTGGGTTGAAAGGGGTTTTGCCTGCCCCAAAGTGCAGACCCCTTTGGAGTCTCAGCCAAGGGCCTGGACTAGAATGCTGCCCTCCAGTCAAGGACCAAGAAGTGCCAGTCCTTCCTTGTTCTCTGTCACCTTGGTCCTAACTCCAAGGACATCATGTCTAGGGGTCCCTAAGAGGATACATCAAGATGCCAGCCCAGAGCAAATCAGCTAGGAGTGTCCCCATTGAAGGAAAAGATGACTGCACAAAAGTGAAAACACTCCTGACCGTGGGACCCTCAGGGGAGAAGTGTCTGTCTCTGCTTTTATGGGAAATTTCCTTGCAGAAGAAAGAACAGAGTCTCGGCTAACAAATGAGCACTGCTTGACCCAAAGTCCACATGGGGACCAAGAACCTTTCAACACAAGGGTCTGGAGTGCCATGTTAAAATTACACTCAGAAGTGGAGGTCTTTGAAATGCAGTCTAGAGGTAAGCCTGTCATCTGGTGACCTGAACAGACTTTCATTTAATGGCCAACATGTATCTTCCCCATTGAGTTACTCTTGCCAGGATAAAACTCTGTTAGCTGCCTCACCCATACACTGTAGCCATCAGCTAAATCCACCGTACAAGGGCCCAAGCTCTCCTCTGCTGGGCCTGGCATGTATTCCTTACAGCCAGGGATGCCTGCCCACGATGACTCCCAGATACATGCAGCTCGCCCTTCATCTTCCTTTGGGGCGAATCCACTGTCTGCCTCTGCCTGTGTGCCTCATGACCTTGCCATGTGTCCTAGAAAGCAGTGGACACCAATGGTTGGTATCTGAGATTTTAAAATATCACAGAAGGAGCAGAACTATGATAGAAGCAGGAGAAAACAGAAGTTGCCAATCTTAAGTGAGAACCTGAAAATTTGTGGGAGGGGGATGGTTGTCTGCCCTTCTGGCCAGACTGTTCCCTGGGCAGTTCTCGGACCGGGGTTGGCCAAGATGGTGGACAGCAGGCAGAATGGCCCAGGAGCACAAAGGGCTGAGACGGGGAGAGCAGGAGCCTCAGTCAGGGACTCAGTCCCAGGAGGCGGGAGAAGCGCGTGAGGCATATCACCCAGCTAACCTAAAATGCTGTAGATAAGGGTCAGGACCTGTCTTTCCCCACACCCCACACAATAGGCGTCAGACAGGAGATCAGCTGGGTCCAGGAACCTTGGACACAAATCCAGTAGGAGGTGTGTTTCATATCATCAAGCGCATCGAGAGTTAATGCTACCTCCTGAGCCCAGTCATCTCCCAGAAGGATCCTAGTTCTCAGCCCGAGATGCCCTGTGAGGCACAGAAAGACCAAATTCACCCTCTGCCCTGTTACTAGGACTCCACACAGGAGCACCCAGCTCGGGTCTCCCGAGCCCAGCTCTTGTTCAAAACTGACATTCGCATTTCACACTTTTGGATACAATTAGGACTCCAATGTAGTTTGCCAAAATAAACACATGCGGTTTCATGAGGGTCTAGCTTGAATTTGCTTTCACTCAAACCAACAACACTAAAACTATTATATAATAATAATAACAATAAATAGTGGGAGCTTCCAGTTCAAAATGGTGCATGTGTATCTTTTCTCCTTCCTGAGAGGGAATTGAAACTTGTATTTATACCCAACAGTTAAAAGACATACAGGAAGATTATCAGCAAATAAGAGATTTCAACAGATTTCTGGAATACCAGAAAAAAAAAAATGATCAAGAAGTAGTGGCTATAAAAACAGAAAAAAGCAGAGCTTATAAAGTACATGAATTGGCTGTGAAGGGACCAATATACCAGTGGAGCTCCTATACACTTAACCACAACATGATTGTAAAGGCTGAAAAACAAAAGGATTCATTTTCAAATGCCTACTCCTAGGAGCAGAACACCTAAGAGCAAGACATTTATCTACAAGACCTGAAGATGTTTCTCTAAACAGTGTAAATGAATTGTTTAGGGGAAACCAGGCAACTGTACAGATCCCAGTGACCACAAATAAGCCCTTCAAGTTTTGGCAAGAGTTCTTCCAGTTAATAGCTGACCTCTCTCCTGATGAACATAAAATGAAGTTGCTAGACACCCAACAGTGACTCTTGGGCATTTGCTACATCCTGCTCTAACATAAAATGGGACATTCCAGATAAGTCTGCCAGACAGATGCTCTGCAATTCAATAGAACAAACACAATCATCAAACAAAATCCTGCAATACAGAGAATATAAGCCAAGATAAACAGAAGCCGTGATTCTAGAAAAGTATAGATATTTCCAGTTAAAAAAGAGAAATTACTGTACAGATATTAATCAATATTCTCAGAGTGATAGAGATCTTGAGTCCACAAAACAAGGACAGGGTATGATAAGGAAAGCACAAACAAGAAGGTTTTCTTATAAAGTTTAAAAAAAGGTATTTCATGAATTGATCCGAAAGCAACAGACTGGAATATAAATTTTGAATTATTCCTAAGAAAAATATCTGATAGACTAAAAATAAAGTAAGAAACAGGAATGGTATAAAACCAGCCTAACTTCCAAAAATAAACAGTTGCAGAATGAAAGAAGAAAATAAAATTAATAAAATAGTGAAAGAAAGTTGAATAAAACATGTCTTAAGTTCAAAAGTATGTCAACCACGACCATTTTCATAAGATATGAAAACCATCACCATGAAATCAGAGGACTAACGCCTACAGAGGAAAAGGATACCAGACTGACAGCAAATATCTCAAGAGTAACATTGCTTGCTGTTTGGTTGGACAATACCTTCAAAGTTCTCAAGTTCTATTTCCCACATTCAATTCTATACCCAGTCAAACTAACTCTCAAGTATGCAGAAAGAATAAGGACTTTATGAGACTAGAAGGAAGGTTAGCTTTGGCTTGGAAATAGCACTCACCCCTCCTCTTGAACTCTGGCAGGTTAGTTGTGTCTGACTCTTGACCCCAGGGACTGTAGCCCACCTCTGTTCTTGGGCGTCCCCGGGCAAGAATACTGGAGAGGGTTGCCGTTTCCTCCTCCACAGGTGGGACTGAGGCTTCTCTCATTGCAGGAGAGGAAGGTGAGTCACATGTGTGCCCAAGAAGAAGGAGAAATAGAGTTTGGTCCTTGGTGAGTAGCCTCCACATAAACCACAGCACAGGCCACAGAAAACTTCTCTCCCAGTTGACCGAGGTGACCCTTGTCAATCTCTTGAAGAATAAAGACTCACTGTACCCAGAAATGAAGCCCCATCTGGACCCAGACACAGTGATGGTCTGGCTGAAACTCACGCATCCCTTGCCAGACATCTCCCTGGGCTTCCCTTTATTCTTAAGTTGCCATCAATCAAATGGTTGACGTCTCCACCTGGCCAAGCATGGCCATCTGAAAACATGATCCCAGCTGCAGTAGTTCCTTTAAAGCTACCACCCTAAATTACCAGAGATCCCAGTAAGGAAGGCCCAAGCCATTTCCAAGTGGGACACCCCTGAGTCACCCTCCACACACTAATGCAATAGACAGAAACAGCAGGAATATTCAACATGACCGTCTTTGCTGGCCGTGGCATTCACCCCATTAGCAGTTATTAATGACATTTTGCAAAATAATAGAAACAGACATTACCTTTTTGTCTTCCTCTACAAAAGTGATGGAAAGCAAAACAAAACAATGGGAAATGTAACTTTGATATTAGTTCCAAATTGACAACCTACAAATCTCACACACTGGTCACTCAATGATATTCAATTTAATGACATTGAGGATAAATATTTTTACCAGTTCCTAGTGTGTATTTTCTAGGATATTTTCCAAACATCAGTTAAAGGTTTCTTAATCTACTGTAGGGTTTTGGTTTTGGTTTTTTGTTTTTTGGTTTTTTTTAATTGGTATTTCTACCTCTAGCTGCTCTAAGGTCAAACCTTTTCTTTATTCCAAACATGAAGAAAGATCCACAGATGGTTAGTTTCCGCCACCAATTTAAGAAAGAAATGAAATTTAAAAGGGCCCAAGAACACACAGCATAGGATGGATAGGAAGTCTACATAGTAATTAAATATTTATGAATGAAAAAATAGCAATCTCTTCAGAAAGCTGGATCCAAGGCTGTAAAAATGGATTCTAAGTACACATTCCTAAAAGGCATTTACCTGTTTTTTGTTCATAAAGTATTTTTTTAAAGGGAGTTTTACAGTTTGTAAATGGAGAGTTTTCAGAGGAAGCAGAGCGAAAATGAATACCAGGGTTTGGTGTGGCTTATTCAAGTGCATGGTTCTCCTCGGGCACCGGAAGCCCCGCTTCACTCCTCAGAGCTGCAGGAGGCAGTGGTGATCAGGAAGGCGCACCTCTGGGTAAAGGTCAGGGCATTGCCATGGCAACCTCCCAGTGCCTCCCTGGGGGCCCGCCTTTGCCCCTCCCACCTGCAGAGCTTCTTTGTTAGGTTTGAGGAGCCTGTCCCTTGGCTCCTCCCTAGTTCCTTGGGTCTTGAGATGGTTGCCTTGCCTGATAGACTAAATATGACCACAAAGGGTCTCCGCACTTCCCCCTAATCTGGGACTTCTGGGTAACGCGTTTGGACCAATAGACTGCCACAGAAAGGGCCTGGCTTGACCTTGGCCTCCGAGACATTGCAGCCTCCGCCCGCCTTTTTGGAATGCTGCTGCCTTGTGAGGAGCCAGGAGGTGAAAACCGTGAGGAGGGAGAGAGGCCCGGGGCTCCCCTTGCTCCGTGGTAGGTTCACTCCACCACTCTGAGGCCTCAGTCTGAGGCCAGTTCACTCGGTCAGCCCCAGACAGCCCACTGGCTGTTAACGCTCACGCCCCAGGGAGCAGAGACACTCATCCCAGCTGAGCGCTGCTGAAGAAGTCAACTCCAGGCCCCGCAACGACACCTGCCTTCCGGCTCACCTCAGCCAGCCGCTGCGCCGCGAGCCTGGGCTGCAGGCGGCCAGCTGTGGGGGAATCTCTGACCGCAGCGGAGTGTCTGGCCCCTCCTAGACCAAAGGTTTGCAGATCGGGACTGCTGGGAGCCTCAGTCCTAGGCATGGTGGCCAGACCTCCACTGAACCTTGCGTGGTGGCAGGAAGCAGGGTTGGGGAGCTGGGCTCAGGCCCCTGAGAGATCCGAGACGGAACCCCTTGAAGGGCAGGGGCCAGACCAGCTGGTCCTGCAGGAGGCCTGGATCTTCCAGCTTCAGAGTCAGCGAAGCCCTCAGACAACCACAGCAACTCCCTACCACCACCTCCTCTCGAACTCAGCCTCAGACAGTGCTGAGGACCTTCCCATCGAGGACTGGGTCTGTGCCCCCTACCCGGCCCCTCTGAGAAAAGAGCCCTTGCTTTCACCAACCCTACGCCAGCTGCTTGTACAAACCTCTAGTGTTTCAGTGAACCGTCCCCACCCGCAGGCTGGCATGCCTGGAGCAAATGTCAGTGGGTTGATTACAACAGAGACAGTCAGTCAAAGGGAGGAATTTGTGTTTAGTATAATTAGTATTACCAGGATTCTAAGCATATATTATCACATAAACACTTATTTACATAGATGTAGTTGTATATGTGTGTGATATAATATATATAAATATAAATGTACTTATATTTATATGTATATAAATAATATAAATGTAACATGAGTTTCCCAGGTGGCTCAGTGGGAAAGAATCCATCTGCCAAAGCAGGAGATGCAAGAGACCTGGGTTCGATCCCTGGATCAGGAAGATCCCCTGGAGGAGGAAATGGCAACCTGCTCCAGGATTCTTGTCTGGAACATCTCATGGAGAGAGGAGCCCGGCAGGCTACAGTCCATGGGGTCTCAAAGAGTTGGACTTGACTGAGCGACTGAGCACAGAGCAGATATATGTAAAACGGTTCTATTTTAGCTGATATTACTCCATCTAGCCATCTTTGAGGACAGGGCTGCAGATTTCCCACCCTCCCACGTTTTTTTCTGTTAATTCCATCCCAGTGCACTGCCTGCCGTTTCCAGCTCTAGCTCTTACTTCTTTGTAAAGAGTTCTGTGCAGACCTCTCCAGGGGCAGCAGCAGGCTACGCTTCTGCCATTTCCCCCAGTTTTTTTCAGCTGTCTTTCTAGATCACCAACATTTCTCTCTCTGGGTCCCATCTCGTCATCATGGTCAAGCTCCTCTCAGGCTGAAAAGGCATCTTTTTAGTCCATCTCCTCTTCCTATTCTTGCCTTCTCTCTCTACTCCCATAAATAACCAAAGTTCTCAAAGAGCTTCTCTGTTGTCTGCACTTGCCCTCCAGTCACTCCTCATCCTGCGTTTACACAAACGTACTCTTCCCTGGCGGCTCAGCTGGTTAAGAGTCTGCCTGAAATGCAGGAAATCTGGGTTCACTCCCTGGGTTGGGAAGATCCCCTGAAGAAGGGAACGGCTACCCGCTCCAGTATTCTGGCCTGGAGAATTCCATGGACTGTATAGTCCATGGGGTCTCAAAGAGTCAGACACAACTAAGTGACTTTCAGACTTTCACTCTAGTTATTCAGACTGAAATGCAGTGAAGTCAGAGTTGGTAAGAAGATACCTGAGATCAGTTATTATTTTATTATGTGTTATTACATTGCTATGGTCTGAAAGGTTGTAACCCCCAAAACTCATAGGTTGGAATCCTATCCCCTCAAGATGATTGGTGTTTGGGAGGTGCTTACATCATGGGGTGGAGCCCTCGTGAGCGAGATTAGGGCTTTAAAGCAAGAAACCACACAGGGCTCCTCACCCTCCCGTGTGAGGACGCAGAGAGGAGGCCCTCACCAAGACCCAATCATGCTAACACTTTGACCTGAGGCTTCCAGCCTCCAGAGCCATGAGAGATAAATGTCTGCTGTTTATAAGCCACCAAGTCCTAGGTATTGTGTCATAGCAGCCAGAACTGCTAAGACATGTACCAAACATCGTGTCCATAAATGAGTGAGCCTGACTGAGAAATGTTTTGGAGAAGTGAAACTTACACCTCACCTAGATCATAGTTAAAACCTCCAAACCAAAGCACATGGTATTCTACCTGGAACAATACAGCCTGAAGCAACTGAAAGAGTGTTTTAAGTGTGGGGCAAACTGCTTTCCATAACAAAAATGGGTGGGTACGCAGGTTACCACCGTGGTAAAGGGTGAGCTAAGGAAAGAGGTCCTTTCAAAGAACTCCTTCCAGGGATAAAGGATGACTTAAAATCCCATATAATAGGGATTTCCCTGGTGGTTCAGTGGTTAATAATTCTTCCAATGCACAGAATGCAGTTTCAATTCCTGGTCAGGGAGCTAAGATTTGACTTACAGCCAAAAATCCAAAGCATAAGATAGAAACAGTAGTGTAACAAATTCAAGAAAGGACTTTAAAAAAAAAAAAAAAAAAACCAAACCAAAAAACCAGTCTTAAAAAGAAAAAAATCCCATGTACTTTTGCTTCTATGTATCAGGGGGAAAATTCTCCCTTTTGAAACTGTGATCTATCAAAATTAAAGTATCTAAATTACGTTTAAAAAAACAATTCTCCATGCTCATCACTACCATCAAATAATGTACACAGTTAAGTGATGTTTGACTTTAATCCAAATTTTTTTACAAAATATTTAGAGGTCAATGTCTGTTTGAAGCAAGATTGAATTTGAAGACAAGGCTCATTTTACTTATCAGAAACAAGAAAGGTCACCAAGCCAAAGAGTCTTACCCATATTATCCATTTAGGCCAAAAGGCATAGGCATCTTTAAATGTGAAACTCAAGGAAGTTAATTAGGAAAGAAGACCTTTTTGCTTTATTTTTGCTGTTTATAAATTGAAGGCAAATCAACATTTGGGATTAGTTTTACATGTTACTTAGTCACTAAGTTGTGTCTGACTCTTTTTGACCCCATGGACTGTAGCCCACCAGGCTCCTCTGTCCATGGTAGCCATTCCCTTCTCCAGGGGATCTTCCCCATCCAGGGATCAAACCCAAGACTCCTGCATTACAGGCAGATTCTTTATCACCTAGGCCACCATGGAAACCCATATTATACTTTACAGTTTTACATGTTGCTATCGTTGTTCAGTTGCTTGGTCCTGGCAGACTCTTTGCGACCCCATGGACTGCAGCACACCAGGCTTCTCTGTCCTTCATTATCTCCTAGAGTTTGCTCAGACTCATGTCCACTGAATCAATGATGCCATCCAACCATCTCGTCCTCTGTCGCCTCCTCATCCTACCCTCACATGACCAGTTATCAAATGGTCATAGTATGAAGTGTGCAGCTATTCATTATTAGCAAATGACTCTTGATTTTTAAACTATTAAGTGCTAATGGTTGAAATGAAAACCAAAGAAAAATGCCAGTGTGAAGTTTGTGCATAGCTAGACTTAAAAAGCTCCATGTTTTGGGGTGATTTTTTTTTCTGATAGTTTTCTGGAGAGACAATGGAGAATGGATGTATCAATTCCAGATGCAAACAAAAAGTATTTTCTATTGTAACATTTAATATAACTGTTATTACTGTGGTAAAAAAAAAATTGTATGATACCACTGACGATTCTGCCCGCTCCCCCAAACCGCCTCTTTGGTTAAGGAGTGACCTTTCTGCATCAGGGACCCCTGGAAACGAAGGAACTCAAGAGGGGTGAAGGTAGGATCAGCCCCGGGTCTTGGAGAGATCGTCCAGAGGTGGGGCATAGGATGGGTGGTTGAGGGCTTGCCCATGGTCAGCAGCATGGAGTAATTCTATTATGGTGTTAGATTTAAATGCAGAATTAGCTGCTGCCTACGCAGAATTATGTTAAACACGGGCCAGACTGAAAATCAATATTCTGCTTAAGTAACTGGCCCTCCAGTAATTTAATGAAGGTAAATTGCGTTACACTGAGGCAAGGTGGAGAGGCCCTTCTGCTGCAGCCCTTCCGTCAGACAGAGGCTGCAAGGCTACGCATCTAAGGAGAAATTCAACACCTACTCATTTCTTTTTCTTTTCCCCTGAAGTTGGAACTGTGCTCTTTTACGCTGGATTACCTGTTTACTCCTTTCATGTAAAACTAGAGTAAATAATTTGCAACCCTGTAATTAGGAAAGAATCAGAGAATCATTATGAGAGAGAGAGAGAACACTGGTGGAACCATGGAAAAGATGCTTTTTTAAAAATTCACAAGAAAAAACTCAGGGGGAGTGAGTGGAAGCAGGATGAACTCATTAGTTTTAACCTATATATTAAAAGGGGACGACAGAAGATAAGATGGTTGGATGGCATCACCGACTCAACAGACATCAGTTTGAGTAAGCTCTGAGAGTTGGTGATGGACAGGGAGGCCTGGCATACTGTAGTCCATGGGGTCGTAAAGAGTTGGACACAACTCAGCGACCAAACTGAACTGATATATTAAAATTTAATGCTAAAGGCTTTAAGCTGACATTGTAATTTATCACACTCAGAATTTGAATGAAGTTCACAAAGCAAATGTGAAGATAATTTTTTAAACGTTATGAATGTGTGAAATAAGACTATTTAAAATGTACCTTCGCTATATTGGTCATTCGTGTGTTCTGTGCTGTGCTTTGTGGTTGCTTTTCTTCTTACTTTTGGTCTTGGTGTATGTGTGTGAGGGTGTATCGGGGCAAGTGTGTGTACGCTCATGTTGCTAAGCCCCACACCCTTCAACATAACAACTGAAACAGACGTCTTCTCATTTAAGATTCCACTACAAGAACTTCAAGCTCTCCACACGGTCGGCATGTACTCATTACCACACTCCAACCACAGAAGTTTAAGCTAAAAATGATTGACAATAGAAAGAAGGCGCCTTTACACAATTTTGAAGTTATTGGCAACTCATTTATTTAATATTCGGCTGCAAACTTCATCTATATGAAACACTTCACAGAATTATGTCCAAAACCGAGAAGTAAAATGACAATAATTGTGTGTTGCTTAGCATGGGATATTATGAAAACACAAGAATCATCCCTTTAAAGATGCCAGTTTGGAACTTCTAAGGCCCAATAAGTCTTATTAACCATGTGCCTCACTATCTTTGAGAAATTTTAGATGTTTGGAGTATATGTGCACT